TATGGCGGTCTTTGATTGATGTGATGAATGTTGTTGAAAATTCGAGGCAATCAAATTAATAAATTTTCATCTTAATTGCGATTGTTGTTAATTGGCTGTACGACTGCCAATTAGTTATTCAAGGCGTTGATACAAATGTAAACATTTGCATTCAAAGTTTTATGTTTGTCAAATTAGTTGATATGGGGGAAAGAAATGTGAAATGCATCGATTTAAATGCTAATGTTTGATTAATTGAAAGAAATCCAATAATGTTACTTCATCACTATGGTATTTCTTTGTTTTCATTTGTTGATTCCAGTTTTTGGTTACACACTTTTTAAGGTGCAATAACATTTATATGAATTTTAAGTGAATATTTTAAGAGAATAAAGACATAAATAAATAAATATATTTTTAAAACGACCTTTATTTTAAGTATATGTACTATAAGTAAATTACTTTGTTAAGCTAACTTCAAAAACATTTCACAGCAAAAGTGGCATTTAAGACATGATATTCTTCTAAAAAGTTTTGATTAATATTTAAAGGGTTCCAAATAATTAATAATTTTTGTTTTGAAATCAAGTTTACATTTTAATAAAAAGGGTTTGAATTTTGTTTATTTAATCTCACAATAAGTATAATATTTTATTACATAGTGGTTTTAATGATATTTCATTATACGAGTATAGCGTATGATGCGGCGAACGAAATACGGCATCTCAACTGGCTATTTAAGCGACTAAACGACGACTCCTGACCTCTTCTGCTGCTCACTTCTTTCAAACAGCTAACTGCTGAGTTTAATTATACTACAAGTAATTCTACCTCAATCATTGCTTATTTGTTTCATTTGACCTATCTAGGCGCTAACAAAAGATGTTTATATAATGGAAGATGAATCTGGTGTCAGCTGTTTAAGGCCCTTCCAATTTTACCCTTGAAAGGGGTTAAATTATTTTGCAATATACATACATACATATGTATGTATGTATGTATGTTTGTATGTGTCCTTTGTCGTTATGACTGAGAACTGCCAATTTCTGGAGAATAAACAGCACTTGCAAACAAAGCCACAAAGGCGAAATGGCAACAATAATGAAGAGTAATCAATATAATTTCAATGTAATTTCACTGAATTTGTTTACCAATTTGCTTCGACGTTGGCAGCATGTTGCTGAACTGCGTGTAATGTTGCTGCGCGCGAAACGATCGCAACATTGAGGTGAACGTGAATCGAGCGAAAATCGGCGGAAAATAAAATGTATAACAATGAAAATCGACGAAACGAATTTTATGAAGACCGCGGCGAGCACGTCGTAAATTTGATTTGGTTTATTTTCTTTGGTTGTGCTCGTTGTTGTTTCAATTTTTTCAGTTTTTTCTTCACTTTTCGGCACGATGAAAACAAAGACTTTCTTTGGGCAACACACAGAAGCTGCAGTTGTGGGTGAGTTGTGAGTTGCGAGTTGCCCGCCCCACTGGTTGTGTAGGGCACACAAAATTTCACTTTTACTTTGCAGAGCTCTCTTGCTCGCTCCTCTGCCGTCCCTAACGTCCATGCAATGTGATTTGATTTTATTTTCTTTGTGGCAGCTACTTAATGTCTGCCATAGTTTATTGCACCAACTTTGGAGCGTCCATAAAGTAGAAATGTTGGGCATTAAAACCACTCGGCAACATTGCCGTTGCGCTTGCAACATCTAACGGCAACATCAGCAGCCTCCGCATCGGCCATAGGGCCACGAATTGCAAACCTAATTAATGGCGACATTTGACATTTGCCAATTAAAGCCAACAGTGAGTTATGTATTATGGCTATTGGACGCGCTCACTGCCTTTGGCAACATGTTGCCATGCTGTTGCATTCAAATGGTGCTTGCTTGTCAGTTGTCGCCTGTCATTGCGCCTGCACCGCCGTTTGACGTTTTATGATTGTGCGACATTAATGCCCGACCGTGGACCGCATTTTGAGTGGCTTTCGAGCAACTACGATGGCTAATCTCGGCAGCGTTTATGGCGCTAAATTAGCGTGTGCCACGTATCTGTATCGAGCAAATGTGGAGCACAAATCGTTTTTGGCCACAGGGGAGTGCGGCTGCTGGAAAGTGTTAAAAATTACAAGGCATTGCTAGCCATCTGGGCAACAGCACCGGCACCAGCAGCAGCAGCAGCAGTCCAGATGCAAATGCTGCCATGGTCCACTCGAAGCGACGACGATTTGCCACGGCGCTGCAAATCGCACGAAGCTCGCTTCAAAGCTGCGGGCGATCAAAATGCAAAACGTTGCATCAGCGAGCGACCCAAAACGAAATCAATGCCTCGTTTTAGCCTACACCTGGGGAATCGTCTAGTTTCATTTTGAAGGGGCACAGAAAAATACAAGTCCGGCAAAGTGGAAATGTCCCTCACATTATTACTAAACTTATAGCTAAACATCTAACTAAAAGATTGTTAAAAATTCTTGTATTCTTATGTTAAAAGAGTATCTACTGCATTTTATTCTACAAATGTTGATAGCAACATGAAGAGAATTCTCATATGTAATTCTGAGAGCAACTCCACTTTTCTTTAGCTTGAACATTTTCAAATTAACTGCTCATTTGATATGACATTAATCGTCTCCTTAAAGACAAACAGGATGAAATATTTTTGGGGTAAATTTCTTCAATCATTTATAATGTATTTTGTATTTCCACTTTTCAGTTTTCCTTTATTTTAAAATATTTGATTTCTCAATTCCTTAATAATAAGAGCATTTATTAAACTTATCTCTAAATTGAACATTAATATACATTATTATTATTTTGGCTACAAATGGACATTGCAGTTTAGGAGTACTTGTAATTCTAATAATGCAAACACATATTAGATTTCTGACTAAAAAATAAAGCAAGTCCAGTCCGCTGCTAATAAAATATCTAGTTATTTCCACTTTCTTCTCACTTCAAGGACATACATTTTGTATAATTTCTATGTGAGTATGCATATACAAGTATACAAGTATATATTTCTTTTTCAGTGTAACAAAGAAAAATGAAATTGTTTCTTCACTTGGCTAACGACGATGAGAGCGTGTTAAAATCGGTGGATAAGTTGAAGGCCCGCCGCAGGAGCCGCATGCTGCAAAATGAAGCAGTTTAAACGTCGTGAACTGTTCCATAGCCTGGAGGCTGACAGCAGGCAAGGCAGACCAATAGATGTGGCTAGTCTAGGATGTGTGTGGCTGGTGTGGGTCGGTCAGTGGAGTGCGTGTGCCGCATGAATTACGACATCAGACATGGGGAGGGAGCAGTAACAACAATCTACCTCTTCCCCTTCTCTCTGTCTTTGTTGTGGCCGTTGGCTCTTGCAAATTATACATAATTAAAATGTTGTTGCTGGTTTTTGCAAATCGTTGCCAATTACAATGTTTGCATGGCACACGAACGACGACACAAGCCCAAGCACAAGAACTTTCCAAGGAGAAGAGCCGTGTGGCAATGTGGGTCAATGTGTTTATAGGCATGACTTTCACTGCCACTGCAAATCACTGTCCAGCCATTAAAGTGTCAAATGGATGGAAGGTAGAGTTAACAATAACGAGAAATAGTTACGACTGGGTATTCAAAGCACGCAAGTAACGCAGTGGATAATGAACGCGATCTAAAATAGCACAAGGATGCATACACTTTTTGAACATTGCCATTGTAAGCACAGCATATAGAAGGAGATATTGCTTTATTCGGCAGAACTTCATCATTTACTTTGTATGACGAGACTGTCTAAATTAAAAATTATTTGTAAGATCTATTTAAATTGGAATAAAGCTACTACGTTTATCTTCTTTCCAGACATTCCAGAACAGTTCCTGCCTTAGCAGCCGTACCATGACAGGAAAGACTAATGGACTCCATCGGACGGCAATTAAAATTACTTGTTCTTTTTATTAAAATGTTATATGTAGTTAAAAATATGTTTCGCTGGAATCTTATAAAGTATGTTGAGCTCTGACTGGAATTTTGATGAATCAAAAGTAAAGTTATATTATTTTTAAGCCGAGTGACAAAGATTCGGATTTTAATGACCTAAGGGAAACGTTTGAAATATAATTTATATATCGCAAAGATTTCAATCCAATACTATACATTTTCTACTTAGCAGCAGTAGTAGAATAATAATCTTGATTAGTCACAGCTAAGAAGTCCTTCCTTATTCTCTTTTTTTTTTTTTGGTTTACAGAGCAACCAAATCCTTGAGAGATGAATCTTACATGTTTCTATGAGTATTACTCCCACATAATCTTATATATCTTATCCCTTTCGTGTTGTCATTTCGGAGTTGTCTACACACATTACAGCTGTAAGCCAAGCGAGTAAAAGAAGGAAGTAGCCAATTATCGAAGCAGGACCAAATGGTATCAACGCACTCACATCAGCCTCAATTATTCATTCAGTCAGTCAGTCTGTTGGTCGATTGAACAACGAGTTGCCATAATTGTCGCACCGCACTGCTAAATCGGGCGCATTACTTGTCGCGTTTTGTTCACATTGCTGAGCCATTTTCACTAAATGAATTAATTAAATCAGTGAAATGAACTACAACGAGACACTTTGTAATTAGAAATTTCTACTATTGGAAAGCAACGCAAAAGGCGAGCGCGGATCGCGGCGCTGCGAAAGCGGCGCTAAACGAAAACTTTATGTCGCATTTCTATTTCGAAGAATTCAACAAATGCGTTGAACAGATTTTCCATCACGCACACTTTATCAGTGAAATGGAAAACCTGAACTAATCCAAAGTGGACTTATTTTGGAGTCAAACAAACAAACGATCGAATGCTGTGCCGCCAACTGCCGCCGACCTCTTGGCTGGAATGCATTTTCAAGTTTATTCTCGGAGATGCTTTCAAGATCAAGTTGGCAATGAGCGGCAATAAATTTAAAAAGTGTCAGGCGACCCATGAATAGGATTAGTCGGAGCACAAGTTGAATGCACTGTGCTCTAGTACTTAAGTTATGTAGGTAGAAGAAACTTACCGCTGTGGAGCTGCGATTGCGCAGTAAATTGTCCAGACAGAGCTGCAGCTCGAACGCCTTCAAATAGAGCAGATGATAGCGATTGCGTAGTCTTTCCAAATTGCCTTCGCCCTTTCTTGGCTGCGTTGTGGCGGAGCTGGGGCCGACGGCGACGCTTGTCGTGGCAGGCGTGCCCAAGAGCTCTACGGAGACGAAGCCGCTGCTGGTGCTGCTCGACTTGGTTGCCTCACTGGTGGATGAATTGGAGCAGTTGCTGGCAAGCGATGCCGGCTGCTGAGAAGCTGACTGCAATTGGTTCTGTTGCTGTTCCAGCTGTTCCCTTTCGGACGCGGCGCGTATACAGGCACTCACCACTCGAGCGTGTGATACAATTTCATGGTATAACACCTGGAAATGAAATCGAAGAACATCAAACAAAGTGTTAACAATTGAATTGAACTGAAGGATGGGGAAGTGAAAGCAATATGTCACAAAGTAAACTGAATGCGCTTAGTCTATGTAATATTTTTCAGAATATAAACAACTGCAAAAGCAAACAAATTCAGATTTTCCAAACATTCGAAGCACGCCTTGATTTTTGAGAACACTGGTAAAAAAGTTGCATAGCAGAGATGAATATTTTCATATTAAATGTTGTGTTCTACTATTTCATATTCAAATCAAATAGAAACAACGTAAACTTAAATAAAAAATATTCAATTACTGATTTAAATATGAATAATTTTCAAAACAAAGCGTAATTCTTTGCCATTAAAGTGTGACATGCTAAATATTTAATTTTAATATGGGCCCACTACAACAAATAGAAATTTCAAGATAATCAATAATAATTGATAAGAATTATTAATCAAAAGAATTTGAAAATTACTTTCCGCTAAAAATGGTTCTATACAAAATATATACATATGTGTATCAATTATTGGAATGAATTAAAAACAATAGAGTAGAAAAAAAGTGGGAGAAATTTTTATAATTATAAAAAATAAACCTTTGACGAGAATCAAACCCATGTCCACATCATCATCATTTATCATTTAATATTGTCACACTTTAAATGTAATATTTTAATATTCAACTTGGAATTGAAGTCTGCAGCCTTTAAATCTACTAAAACACACTATGGTGCAAAACCGATGGTAAAAATATTGATATCTTTTTTTATCAGTGTATGAAATATGAGAAGTGCGTAGAACAGCGCAGACAAATTTCACGCATGAAATATATGTAAATGCCACTGCAATAAATAATAGTCACACTATTGGAAAAGTTGAAGAGCTTTATGGGAGAAGTTCGTAGATGTTCTCAGTATTCTCCACTAAGTTAAGCGTGTTTCAGGGTTTTTATTCCCTTTACCTATTGGGTAAAATAATTCTGAAGCATTTCCCGATGAGTGAGGCAACTTTTGTGATTTTTCTCGAATTTTATATACTAAGTATTAGGGCGTAGCTCAAGCTATCATTGAGACGAGTAAGATGCAGATGAAGTTATCTGATTGCGGCGTGGGCTTCTTGCAGAAAAACAGTCTTCATTGTTGTTGGTTTTTATTGTTGCTTGAAGCTCGGGTCGGGTTGCAGCAATTTAAGGCCAATGATTCCCTTGTATAGTTGCACTTAATATATGAAGTCTGCTGTGATTTAGCTATGCTAGCATCTACTTTGAAACTGCACCCAACTCATTTCCGTTTGCGGCTTTTTCTCATACGAGCTAACGGCTAGGGACCAGCCAAGACGCTGATTTTCATCGTTCATTTGTCATTTGAGCAGCACCTGCCCCGCAATTAAGCAAGAAAGCAAAGGTCAATCCCACACATTTGATTGCATAACCATGACCCAACGCATTGTTTGTAAGTCCGCGTCTGCCCAACACAACACACGCGACTTCACAAGATTAATCGATAAAGAAAATGTTTGGCATTTTGCCAGCCGTAAATGAAATGTGCAAAAACTTTCCGCTTTTGTAGGCGGCGAGGACGACGAAAGCGGCACAAAGAGCGATATTCAATTTATCAAATAAAAATAATTACAAAATAATTGACACGCCGGGTTGAAAGGTCTCCTCTCCCCCATTGTGGTATCCCATGAGGCAACTATTTTGCACGAGGCTTGAAGTGTGTGGGTGTGGCAGCCAAATGTACAATGACAGCCACCTCGCACATACACAAACACACACACACACACACTCACACACATGTGAGCTTCGCAGTGGCAAGTAATCGTACATTGATCTCCATACAACAGTTTAACCCCACGACCTCTTGCATCACTTTCGAGGGACGAGCCAGGGACGGGCCAGTAACCAGCAACCATCGACCATCGACCAAGTGCGGACCGACCATGGTGTGGCGTCTCGTTGAGTAAACAGCAATGGCGGGCACAGCAACAATGGCCGCATGTCGGAACTAGAAATCGATAAATATGATTTAAGCACCTTCACAATGCAACGTTAGTGGGAAAAAGGAAAATCTGCGGGCGTTGCAGCCGGCACTTCAGCTGATGCCCAAAGTGTTGGTCAGATGCCATGAGGCACTCGTGATCGTTTATTTATTGCACTGACTGTCACTGAAAACGACATCCTGCCTTGGTCGGCGCCAATAAGCGCAGCTCGTGCCATAAAGCTAACGCCGAGAAGTACTCCAGTCATAAATTTTAATTTTCACCTGTTGCCCAGGTGTCTGCTGCATCCGTCCGTTTTACCCTTTTCCCAAAACACTAACACACACATACACACACCAACCAACCAACCAACTAACCATCCAACTAACCAACAACACACAAATTGAAATGTCACAAAGGCGTTCGTCCGCCGATTTCAAAATTGAAGTCTTCTGCGTCTTCAATGAAGTTGTGCAGTTTGTGATTTTTTTTCTATTTATGAAAATTATTGCCGCCGACATTTTGACATTTGGCAAAACTTAGCGGAGTCCTCTGCTTGTCGAGCATTTAATGATTTACTTCGTCTAATGGACATTGCACTTGGAAAATTGACACTTGCAGGCAGCTGCCACGCTCGCAGCAGAATGATTGGAAAGTCGATGTTCGGCCTAAGCCAAAAAGATTTATGAGGATCTGGCGGGAAAGTTGTTGGCTACGATTTTACTTTTATTGCAATAAACTTTTTGGCATTGCACGAACACAGCAATGTCAACAATGCGATTTTAATAGTAGCTTAAATAGCTGGAGGTCAGGCTGGTAAAAATGCTTTAAACAAAGCAAATGCCATTTCGAAGTAAACAAAACCAATAAAAATGATTTCAACGTCTTTTCCGGGTGTCCATTCACATCTAAACGACCTATAAAAGCAATATCGATCCATAAAAAATATTTACTTTCAACAATAAAATACATTTTAATCATTCAAATGCTACTCTTGTACTTTTAATAGAAAATGAAATGTTTTTTAAATTCTTCAATTGTTTACCAACATTTCGGACTACTCATGGGTTATTTAGAGTAACTAAACTCTAAAACCGAGTGGTTGTTTCAATGGTGTCCCCATTTATTACTTTTAAGTTGGCAGAACCGTCAAGAGGGTCGAGAAAGCGTTGAAGACAAACCAAATTGAGAAACTTCAAGCTGAATCGCAGTATTGAACGCCTTTCCAGAATACTGATTTGTGTGATTTGGACTACTTCGACGATTATCGGAAAAAATGAGAAAATAAAAAAAAAAAAAACCTTATCCTTTTTCGGGCTTAGGAGAATCTGAATACCAAGTTTGGCTCCAATACTTTCTGAGATCCATTCGTCCAAGATCGAGATCAAGAATATATTCACTTTGTGGGGTCTGCCACGCCTCCTTTTGTGTGTTACATAGAACATTAGAACTAAACTAGTATAGCCTCTTACCCTTTGGGTGCAGGGTAAAGCTTGATTCCAGTCCGCTCTTACTCAAATAAATACCGGGGCCTGCATTTAGATTTAAAATTGTTTGGGCATCGCCCACAAGTTGAACGCACTTAGCAAGACCTTAGATCCCATCGAGCCCATTTCCCAGTCAAATATCAGCAGCCCATTTGACAGCACTTCAAATTCTATTTCGAATTTTCCGCTATGCAATTTTCTGCGTCATTACAACGAGAATGCAAACGTTCAAATGCACAACAACAACAGCAACAATAGCCATAACGACGAAGGCAACAAACGCTGTTTGTATTATGATTTTTATCATTATATCTAATTATAACCCGCGCACAACTCCGACTCTCAGAATGCGACTAAAGCAACGTTGAAAGCAATAGTAGGAAAAACAAAAGAACTTTAGTCTTTTTTTTGTGGTTGAGAGGCTTGGCCGCTTGGCAAATAAAAATCAACTTAACTTCAGCGCCCAACAAAATGCACTGCCATTAGCCGACCTGTGGTTCTTTTGAATATTGTTGTTGTTGTTGTTGTTGTTGCTATAGCTGCGGTCGCTGGCTGTTGCAGCCAAGTGCACGTGCGCCCGGACGCACCTCGCAACCGGCGCTGACTGGCTGATCTGGGGCCTAGGCTGGCACCGGGCCAAGAACAACAACGGGCTCTAAGTGAGATTTCAACTTCATCAAGCTGCCCGACCCATTATGTGGGTGAGCTGGATGGGGTGGTGGTGTGTGGTGTCTAGGGTGTACGGGGTGGGCCGGTCTGCTTATTTGCGATAGTTGCGGCTCATTATGGATGAGGAGAACCTAGCAAGCCGGCCGGCTGGCCGGCCAAGCACAATTCACAATATTTACAGGCGGAACGCCTTTCTCTTTGTTTTAGTTGCGACCAGACTGCGAACTGAGGATCGACTGAGGCCTTTGCCTTTGCCTTTGTGGGGGCTGCGCGATGGCTGGCGGCTGTGGCACAGCACCACTCCCAATTTTTGCACGACTCGTACTATAGTCTGTGGCTCGGTTGGTCTTGGCAATTTTCATATGCCTCTTAATGCATTTTACACACGCTCACTCAACTGATTCGCTCGCTAACCCACCCACTGCAATCCTAAGCCACCACCAACATCTGGGGAAATATGAGCAAGAATTTTATGCAAAATTCGTGACTAATCATCCGCTGAACTTGAGAAGTTTGTTGTGATTGTGACTTTGCAGCTTTAAGCTGGATCTATAAATTGCCCTTGGGAGAAACGGCGGCGCACTTTTGCAAAATCAAACACAAATTGGCAACAAATGCGCAGGCAAGAGCTGCAACAGGCTGAAGAAAAGTGAATGTGGCGTGTAGAATGGCAAGTGGGTTCATTGCTGAACAGAAAAGAGATTGAAGATATCTTTAGATCTTAACAGAACACAATGCAAACACACAACTTATCTCTCATCTTTGCTGGATTCTGATTAAAAAAAATTCCTTAAAAAAGAAGAAAACTTAGAAGGGAAAAGCATTTTTAATCGACTTCAAAAAAGGAGCAGTTTATCAA